GAATGATCTTGGGATGACCAATCCAGCGTCTAGGGCACGCTGTGTCCTACTTCTGCTTTCACGCGTGGTGTGACCATGTTCATTATAATCTCAAAGGAGGGAAAAGCCTTGTAAAAAAAAAAAGCAAAACGAACAAAACAATCTTATTCGAGTTGTCCAGTAACTTTGTGTATTTAGCTGTACAATAAGCAGTTGGTTTGTGGAAGATGGTTAAAAAGGCCAAAGTTAAAAGATTTTTATTTTTCCCCTTTTCTGTCTATAAAGTTGCTGTTTATTTATATTGTTTACTTTTTGGCCTGTTTGGTTTATGTGTAAAACAATGTTGTCCAACAATAAGCTGGAATTTTAGTTTGCTGAGTTGTTCTAACAAAAACTAAAGTTGCTCATAGGGGAAGGACAAGGATTGACTAGGAGACCTTTTCTGAAGTGATTAAAATGTTTCATATCTTAATTGGGATGTTGATTATTTCTCAAATTAATCAGTTATACATTTATGTGCATTTCACAGTATATCAATGCCATCCTATATAATAAAAGGCTAATATGTAAATAGACCAAACAGCAGAACCACCGAGCAACTGGTAGCTATGACATGTGCTGACCACCAGGGGGCACGCGCAGAACATGGCTAGCATTGGCCGCAGCGGGATGGTGGAGCAGGTGAGCTGGGGTGCCAGACCAAGGCGGGGCACTGGTTGCTGTGATCAGGGTGAGCCTCTGGTGGTTACTGAAAATTCTTTGCTCCCTCATGCTGCGGTCCTGCCCGGCGCTTGCACTAGCCAGTCCCGATTGTGGGTGTGAGCAGGACCGGCGCCAGGAGCAGGGCTGCCAGCAGACAGGCAACTGGGGGGCCGTGGCAGGAGGGACCAGGTGGAGGCTTGGAGGATGGGCTGAGACCTGCCTCTGTGCCCACCGCAGCCTTCAGGCCCACAGGTCCTTTCAAGATGCACAAATTTGTGCACTGGACCCCTAGTCTTTAATAAAAGCTCTTGAACAATCTGCACAAAAGCCATGCTCAACACACACACACACACACACACACACACACACACCATAAACACACATGCTCATATTAAGCATCAGACTTGCAAAACTGAAAATCTAATTGTCAGCGAGTATGTGGAACGACTGGAACTTGTATTCTCTGTTTGTGGGAGTGTAAACAAGCTGACAATATTTAATCCAGGCGAGTGTGTGCATATGGCCCAGCAATTCCACCACTAACTGGGTACCTCCCCCAAACCACATGCAAATAAGTCCTGTACATTCAAAGCAGTATTGTCTGTAATAGTTATAAATAAGAAGTCACCAACAGGCAAATTGACGTATAGATTGTGTATCGCCCACACCACCGAGTATCGAACAGCAGTAAAATGAAAAGAGCAGAGTTGCTCCCATCAGTTGTTTCTGAGTAGAGCTACTCAGCAGCAGAATATTGAGTGAAAAAAATGATGCAGAAAAATACACATTGCATGATACCATTTATACTAAACTTGAAAATATAAAATCTCAATTCAATAAACTCCCTATGCATTTGTGTATAAATAGAATGGTATGAAAACATGAATGAATATTAAGTATTGAATTCAGGATAGTGGTTACCTCTAGGGAGGGAAAGAGGTACCTAGGAACTCCATCTCTATTAATAATGTTTTATTTAAAAAATCTAAAGCAAATGTGGAAAAATATTAATCTCTCTTGTGCTCGGTGGGATATAGGGTATTTCTCTGAGATATTATTCTACATGCATTTCTGCATGTTGAAATATTTCAAGGTAAACAGAGAGAAGTCAACTCTCTGACAACTCAAGAGAGACTGGTGTAAGGAATTAATAGTTTCATTGTCTCCTGAAGAGAAACTAAAACTGTCCCACTGCCCAAGAAATATAGGAGTCATTTATTCTTTGGAACTTTGGGTGTACTTTAGCTCATTTATTTATCCTGATCCTCTTTCCACAAAGGAGTCAAGGTAGCTTGCAACAAAAGACACATACAATGAGCCTAGAAAACATAAACATCAAAGATAAATATCCCATCAATACTGGTTAACCACGGTTGCTGTGATCAAGTTTCAAACTTGGCTCTGGACTTCTTGGCAACAGTAACCATCCCACCTCCAGCTGACCCATAAAAGCAGGTTATGAAAACTAACCTTTGTTCTTCAGAATCCAAACTTAATATTTTCCCGAGCAGTCTCTGTATCTATTTTTCATTTTGCCTTGCTAAATAGCCAGGTTCTTCTTTCCCTTGTTCTGTTGTCTCTCCCTCCCTCCCTCCCTTCCTTTTCATTCTTTATTTTTCCCAAATGCCAGGTCCTTAAGACTGGCAGTGGTTATGAATGCAGGTTCAATTTACTATTTATTGGCTGAAATACCCTGAGGTGAGATTTTTAACTTCTCTATGCCTTAGTTTTCTAATGTTCAAATGGGGATTATCTATCCTATGGATATCACAGTGGTGGGAGATTACATGAGATAATGCACGTGAAAAGCTTTGAATGATGCTAGTCACTGCTCAGTAACTCTTCGCTGTTGTTAGGATTATTACTCGGTGGAGGAGAGTATGAATCAGTGTATTTCATGCCCCGCTCAGGGGCAGATCGGGAGCGGGGTAGGCTTCCCTGTCTCACATGCAGGGCTGGCAGTGGCATGAAGCTCAGGAAGTGGGCGCTGACCAGCACCACCCTTAGACGCCGCTGCAGTTCCCCCCTCAGACCCAGGTGCACTTAGCAGCCACCCGCAGATCTAGCAACACACTCAACCATCCAGCTGCTGCACCAGAACACGAGGGGACTGGACATTTCTGCTTCTGAGGCAAACACAAGATTCTGTTGCTGCTTGAGAGTCCTTTTGGAGAAAAGCAGGCCTTCAGCGCAGACTGGCCTGGACGGCCTCAGACCCCGGGATGTGCATCTCTGCCCTTCCTGAAGGCCCGGGGAAAGCCCAGTCAGAGGACAGCTTATTCTAGGCGTCACCACTGCCTACCTAGGAGCCTCACTTGATTCCAGGCCCAGCAGAACCTGCTCCTTGTCCTCTCATCTGGAGATTATCTGAGGAACTCCAACAAAATGGGTGGGAGGAAGCTGAGCCGAAGGGGAGAGGAACTAGATAGGATGACGCAGACATTGGGGGTTTGGAACCAGGCAAAATATGGGTTCAAGAAGTAGAAATCAGTAAGTATGGGGCAGAGGGGGCAGACAAGAGGGAGCTCAGGTACAAAGGGATGAAAGACCAAGTGACTAAGGCTGGGACATAAGGAGGTTTGGTTTCAGGAACATGATAGACACCCTATTACTAGGCCTGAAGCAGAGGGTCTAGGTAGAGCCAGCAGTGCCTGTGGGCTTGCTGCCAAGTCATTGAGTGCTGACTTAGGGTTCCTTAAATTCCCAGAATAACTGAAGAGGGCCAAGAATGCATGCACATGTGAGGGTCAAGTCCCTTTAGCCTAAGGGATGAGAGGGGTGAGGGAGGAGAGGCAGCATTAAGGAAGCGAGACATTATTTATTAAGCCGCCAGTCTGTTCACCGGCCAGCCCTAGAGCCAGCAGCAGTCCCTACACTGCTGAGCAGTCACGAGTTATTGCCTTTCCTATTCACTAGAAGCCCACAAGCATGGTATTCTTATTCTTGCTCAACATTGCTCTCAATGTGGGACCTCATTTCTATGTCCCACAAGATATAAACTCAGGAGAGAGCACCCTTTACTAGCCAGATGAGAGGTCCATATGTTTCAATTTAGAGACTGAAGGATCATCAAGAAACGCTAATAGCTTTTCCTGTCCTGGGGCACCAATTCTGTGGTTCAACTTGTAGCTAGAAGAATAATAGCTCCATTTATTGGCTGTTCACTGTGTGCCAGGCATTATACTAACTGTGTTAAATGCATTCTATCTCATGTGATCCTCACAATATTATGAGGTGGGCACTAGTATGAGGAAACAGGTCCAGATTGGTTGCAAACTCTCAAGATGGTAGTTCAAGTGTCAAGATACAAACCCAGGACAGTGTGACTTAAAAAGCCACATTCTGGCCTGGCCTGTGTGGCTCAGTGGTTGAGTGTCGACCCGCACACCAAGAGGACGCACATGCCCGGGTTGTGGGCCCAATCCCCAGTCGGGACATGCAGGAGGCAGCTGATCAATGTTCTCTCTCATCAATGTTTCTCTCTCTCTCTCTCTCTCTCTCTCCCCCCTTCCTTCCTCTCTCTCTGAAACAATTTAAAAACATATTTTTAAAAAGCCACCTTCTGAAACATGATGCTGACCCCTAACCTCGAGCACTCCTTTTTGGGGGAGGAGGACCAAGAGCTCTTACAGATGTGGGGCCCGAGAGCTGCAGCAGCAGCTTGCCTGCTTCCCCCCAGCATTTCGGTTTGACTTTGTTGTCCTCTCTCATTCTTGTTCCACATCTTGGTGGGCCTGCTGCCAGTTAGCAGCTGCTAGGCGAAATCTGAGCAAATTGGAGAAGTACCATTTACTGACCTGTGAGATCATTTTCTAACATGGTCCCATCTCTAGCTGCGGGAATGCACTCCAGCCAGCCTCCTGAGTGGCACAAACAAGGACAAACCCCAGCTTACCACCTGTTTCCCCGTTTGGTCTTTAAATGAAATTGGAGCCATTCACCTGTAAATCCCTACTACTTCTGGGGTACAGGTACACAGCCAGCAGGAAAAAGAGCCCAAGAATAGCTAACAGTAGAAGGAAACACCTTTCAGAGAAGCCAAATTGAAACTGCATTTCATATTCACGAAGGATCCCTTAAGACAAAGCATTTTCTTTCTGCTGGTTTTGACTCATTTTCATATTTCCTGCCCCCAGTGGCCCTCGGATCTCCTGTGGTGTCCCGAGGGAATGCACCTAGATGAGGGCCTCTTCCCACCTGAGTGAAGAGAAGACTCCGACTCAGCTAAAGGGCAACTATACAAGAAAATGACAATTCTGAGGGAATAATGAGGCGAACATACTTTGTTTACTAATTTATTAATACGTTTAATAATAAACTTATACAAAATAACATATTTTTGGCTTTGAAATCATGACATAAAACAGGAAGGCAAATAATTGGAAATTATCGGCTGAAAGATGGTAGAAGCAACTCATGCTGAACCTGAGTAACACTCCAGCGGGCGGGCGGCAGCAGGGCGCACCAGCCCAGCAGGAGGGGAGCGCAGTGCTGCTCCCAGCCGAGCTGGCTCCGCACCTGCTCAGCTCCCTGCCGTGGTCTGGTCACCGCGTACAGGAAACTGGGCTTGCCTCTCTCTCCATTCCTTCTTTCCGTCCTGACTTGAGCTACGAGAATAGTGATGCATCCTAGTTTGTAGGATAGTGTTGTTGTTTTCTTAACTTGTTTGAACTACACGTTTTCGACCTTCAAGAACAAAAAACTGCTAAAATCAACTGTAACTATAAAGCCATTTCTATTTTTGGTCAGCTATCTGCTGTAGGCAAAGCTTCATGTAGGAATTTTTGTTGCGAGTTTCCAAGACTGCATCCCTAACAAGCTCGATGAACATCTGTGGCCAAAGCTTCTGCAAGGCCTCTTTTTTCATGCTGATCTCTGTGGCTTCCTTCACAAGGTCCTCTATGTAAATTTTGCAGAATTTCTTTTTTTCCTTTGTTTCCTGTTAAAAAAAGGAAAATCTGCACTGAGTCATAATTAACCCAAAAGCCAAAGCAACAATGAGCAGAACCAGAGAAACCTGAATACTTTCCTAGACAGTAACACCAGTCAGGGCAGCACTACCTGACAGAGCAGTAATCCTCTCCTGGACAGTCTGGGCACAGAGCTGTGCTTCAGGAAAGAGCAGTTGGGAGTGTCCGACTTCCCAGCCCGCTCCTACCTCCGTTGGACAATTCTGTGAGAGTTGCAGGCTTGATCCCCAGTGGGGGGCGTACAGGAGGCAGCCGATCAAGGATTCTCTCTCATCATTGATATTTCTATCTCTCTCTGCCTCTCTCTCCCTCCCTCTCTGAAATCAATAAAAAAATATATTTTTAAAAAAGTGTACAAGGAAGAAGAGGAAATATATACAAGTCTGGGATCCATAAGTTGGCCTTTGAAAGAAACAGTAGTAAGTCAGTCAGAGAAAGACAAATACCATATGATCTCACTTATATGTGGAACCTAATGAACAAAATAAACTGATGAACAAAATAGGAACAGAGGCATGGATGCATGGAAGAGACTGACAGCTGTCAGAGGGGAGGTGGGGAAACTGGATGAAAGAAGGTGAAGGGATTAGCCAAAGAACATATATGCATAACCCATGGACACAGACAGCAGTGTGGTGATGGCCAGAGGGAAGGGGGGTGCTGAGTAGGAGCTGGGGCTGGGTGGGGCAGGGCAAAGGCAGCAGAAAATGGGGACATCTATAATAGTGTAAATAATAAAGTTAATAAAAAAAAGAAAGGGGCACACACATACACACACACACAAAAAAAAGGAGGAAGAAATAGTGCTTTTTCTCAACTTCTGGGTCTGGCAGTCTACAATTGAAAAATCTTCAAAACACAATAGTGGAAGCTTTGGACCCAAGGATATTCGGGCACTGGGTCCCAGTTTCATCCCAGAGGCTGAAACAAAGCCATTTTGTTTAATGCAGGAATTTAACATTAATTTTGGATATTGATATTTTTGGGGAGTATAAAAGCATGATGATGGAAAGTGTCATAATATGTATGGAAAAATCAATGAAATAGACCAGGTGATCAGAATTATATGGGGAACAATTCACATTAATAAAGAAGGAAAGAAAGAGATGTTAATGAGACAATAGGTTTAACTACTTGAAAAACATCTACTGAAACCTTCAACTCAAAATGTTAAATTTATTTTTTTAAAATATATTTTATTGATTTTTTACAGAGAGGAAGGGAGAGAGATAGAGAGTTAGAAACATCGATGAGAGAGAAACATCGATCAGCTGCCTCCTGCACATCTCCTACTGGGGATGTGCCCGCAACCCGGGTACATGCCCCTGACCGGAATCGAACCTGGGACCCTTCAGTCCGCAGGCCGACGCTCTATCCACTGAGCCAAACCGGTTTCGGCCCAAAATGTTAAATTTAAAATATCAAAAGATATTGCCATTAAAATTACACTTACAACCCTGGTCATCTTTTCTCAATGGTTAGAGCATTGGCCCTCAGACTGAAGGGCTGCCAGTTTGATTCCCAGTCCAGGGGACCTATCTCGGTTGCAGGTTCCTCAGCCTGGGCAGGGGCCAGTGGGGGAGGCAACTAATTGATGTATCTCTCTCATGTTGATATTTTTCAATCTCCCCCTCTTTCCTCCCTTCCACTCTCTCTAGAAATTAATGAAAAAAAATATCCTTGGGTGATTTAAAAAATTACACTTACGAAGATTTATAATAAGAAGGAAAATACATTATAATGTTACATAGAAAAAATGCAAAATGAAATTTTGATAAAGGTTGGGTTATAAGAGTGTATGTATTTGTCAAAACTTAGAAATTATACACCTAAGACTTGTATTTCATTGTATATAAATTCTACCTCAAAAGAAGAAACTATATAAAATATTGAATATTAATGATATGCATGCTGAATTACTTAGAGAGAAGCATGCTAATGTCTGAAATTACATTTAAATAAATTTAAAATATAAGGTGGATTTTGATGGACAGATGATGGGGTAGATGCATAGATATGTGTCAAAGCAAGTACACTATACAGTACAATGTTAATAGTAGAATATAGGTTTGGGTGGATGGTTTACTGTAAATTTGTTCAACTTTGCTATACGTTTGAAATTTTCATTAAAAAGTTAGAAAAATATATAGAAAACTATTGCAAGAAAATCTATGGAAGTGTCATTAAGATAGTTTTTGTGTTGTGAGACCATGAATGTTTTTTACCTCTTTTTGTCTATTTCTCTTTCTTTTCCATATTTTTACAGCTTTAAAACAACAAAATATATTTTAATTTTTTTAAATATTGATTTTAGAGAGAGAGGGGAAGGAAGAGAGAAAGAAACATTGATGAGAGAGACACATCATCCTTTCTCCTGCATGCCCCATTCTGGGCACCGAGTCCAAAACCAGGACATGTGCCCTGACCAGGAATTGAACCAGTGACCTCTTGGTGCCTGGGACAATGCTCAACCAACTGAACTGCACCAGCTGGGAAAATATATTTTATATTCTTGATTATTAATGTAAGTTAACGATGAATCTCAATTGTCACTAACTTTCCCTAATAGAAGCACATTTTGGAAATTTTCTTATGACATAAGATTTTTCTAAATAATCACTCATCATTCAGGGGTCAACTTGATTTGATTTAGTTCATAGGCTAAAAACAACAGGCCACTGGTTGACTATCATAAAATATGTACAGATTTTGATGGGCGATAAACAAAAAATGGTTTCAGCTGGCAACTTCTCCGATGAACCTGATATCTCTAGCTCTGAAGTATAGTATGGGACTTAGTCACCTACACTAAGTTAGCTTGTTGATGAGAACAGCATTTAGCTGCTCTCTTTTAACACTCGGTAAATCTGGACTACACAGGGACTACCTACCAGGAAGAAAAACAAGTGTGAATCATCAGAGATTAATAACTGAAACGTACACTATTTCACAATGAGCAATGCATTGATACAAGTCCAAGACACAGAGCATATTTAGTGAATGCCTCTCTTGCAGATTTCTAAGTATCTTGGAACATGATTTTGAATTAAAAAAAAAAAAAAAGACAGCCCGGCAGATGTGGCTCAGCAGTTGAGCATTGACCCAGGAACCAAGAGGTTGCTGGTTTAATTTCCGGTCAGGGCACATGCCCGGGTTGTGGGCTTGATCCCCAGTAGTGGGCATACAGGAGGCAACTGATTGATGATATTTCTCTCTCATCGATGTTTCTATCTCTCCATCCCTCTCCCTTCCTCTCTCTCTAAAAATCAATAAAAACATATATTTTTTAAAAAGATAAAGTTCTAGTAATAGGGTAATTTAGGCATAACAAAAATTTAAAGAAGTTTTAGATGATGTATCTTGTTAAATAATTTATACATAATACAAATAGAAACAAACTTTTCATAATTGGCATAGTGCAATTTTTGGTGCTTTAAAGTTTTCTGCTATAGTTTCTTCCATTACTTCACAAACATGTTGATACAGAAATGTATCTGCTATAATAACCTAGTAACTGTGTTTGAAAGCATTTTCACCTCATCTCTTCTCTCCTCTAAGCCAATTACTCTGCATCTCCACGTAGTGCACTCTAAAACTCGCCAGGTGTCTGCCAGCACACCCCCTCTGCCCATCCAGAATGATCCTGCTAAGAAGCACATTAGCAATACCTCTCTTGTCATGACCCTTAAGGAGTTGTTGCTCTTTGAATAATGCTCTTCCCATTCTCAAATGCTTTCAGATACTTATGTTTTTCTATCCCACAATATCCCTGTGTGGTTCATAAAGCAAGTCCAATTTTATAAGTCCAATCCTGATGAGATGAATTATATACAATATTGTTTATATTATTTTATTGAACTAAAATGTTGTTGTCATGAAGATGGTTAGAGGGAAAAAGTAGGCCAGCAGTGGGATTTGTTATAAAGTGATTTTAACTATAATGATATTGTATTGGGATTTAATCCGTATCTCCATTTTATAAATAGGAAACTAAGGTCAATAGAAGTTGAGAAACTTGATCAGGATCAGACATCATCTACTACTATTTGCCTAGAGAAATCTCTAACCTAGTCCTTGAAGAAACTGCGGTCTAGTTGGAGAGATGGCCTAAGCATATAAAAAGCTAACTTAAAAAGATGAAACAGTAAGTGCTGAATGAGATACTGAGACAGCAGATACATCCAGTGTTCTGAGAAGAAAGCCCTTTTGCACTAGGTGGTCAAGCAGACTTCGGAGAGCGGCATGATACACTGTGAGTCCAAAGTCAGGAACCAGGGGTCTGAGTTCTGGAAGCAGCTCAGTCAGTAACTTACCATGTGATCCTGTTACCAGTTTGCCTCATCTGTCTAAGGACAGGATTGGATTCTAGAGTCCCTTTCAGCTCTCTGATTCGACATCCATCATGAATCTTTTTTAGAATGAATCAGGAGAATGGATGGGCAATTACCAACCGACAGAATTATGCATGTCATATGTATAATTGTACATGTCATATGTACAATGAAAGGGTCTGCCTACTCTCATTTGTGAGGAACTCATTTCAATGAACTCCCCCAGTATGTACAGAAGAGAGTGTGAGCACTTTATGCTATAGAGATTTAAAATTTTTTTCAAGAGGTGGAGAGGGAGAATATATGGTATACGTGAAGGAATTCTGGGTTGTGAGTCAAGAGAGAGTGATTAAGGGACTAGAGTAAGATCTATCAGTGGTAGAATCAGGGGCCCAAATCTAAGTCTCCTGGTGGCCTAATGTTCTTTTCCAAAATATTATGTGACTTCATATCATTCTTTTCCTTTGGTATTTCTCAAAACAGCAGTCAATGTTCCCTGTCTTTACTTCTTCTTGCTTATTTATGATCAAACTACTTTAATCAAGACTCTGCTTTTATGACTCCATTGAAACAATTTTTGTTACACACACACACACCCAAACCAAATAAACCCCAATGACCTTGATTGCCAAATTTAT